CAAAATTGCCTTGTTGTATAGGAGAATGAGGATAGAGTTGTTCCAAAATTCCTTATCATATGATTTAAAGGACATTACATTAAAAAGGGACTTTTCATGAAGCTTTTGGCTAGAATTCAAGTTCTTACTGTTGACCTTGTTAAGAGATTGGTAATGCCTTGCTAGATTAAATCTTCTTCTAGACTCTCTGACTTTCTGGATTCCATGCACCTCCCTTTCCCCAAAAAATACTTCAAGTGGAAACTTCTCCCACCTATCCCAGTTTTTTTTCCAGTTTTTTTTTGGTCACTGCCAAGGGAAAACGTTCTTTGAAGAAATCATTGGAGAATTTTTCCTTCACCTGGAAGAAACCTGGAGCAATTCTTCATCCACCAACTTCACAGAGAATTTCAAAAGTCCAATTATACTTACCTGCATTGTACAGAACATCTCCAGGTGACTTAAATCTTAATCCTTATCTTTCTTTTTATTCTGAATAAGTCCAATTGAGTTACTATGTAGGTAAGTACCTTGGCCAGCACTGGTCTAACATGGTGTGCTGGTGAAAAAGATGGAGTAGAATTGGTGTGAAATCTACTATTAATTTGGGGCAAGCTTGATATCTGAAGCTTTTGTACTTGAAGATAAAATGAGAACTACATCCGAAGAAGACCTGGGTTTGAAGAATACATCTAAGTTTGAAGAGTCTAACATGGTGTGCTGGTGAAAAAGGTGGAGTAGAATTGGTACAGGTGTGAAATCTACTATTAATCTGGGGCAAGCTTGATATCTGAAGCTTTTGTACTTGAAGGTAAAATGAGAACTACATCCGAAGAAGACCTGGGTTTGAAGAATACATCTAAGTTTGAAGAGCACACATTTGTGGTCCCCGAATCAGCTTTCATGTTCCTGGTGACTTGATGGACATTTTCCATCTCTTTCAGTCTTGAGAATTCCTAATGGTCTCTATTCTGTTACTATTATGCTTTCTTTTCAGATCATCCAGGATCAACTAGACAATGCTGTCTTCTAAATTAAAAAACAACAACCCTCCATTGGCTTAATGGTCCCTGGTGAGCTCGTGAAAGTATTCATGTACTTTTTTTGGCAGCCACGTGGAAATACTGTCATGTTCTTGTTCCAGAATCGTTTTAGACTTCTCCTTTACGGCTTGTAACCTAGCAGATTCCTGCTGGTTTTTCATGGAATTAAGAGATGATTCTGGACGGATATCTGCAAATTGGAATAGCTGTTCATACATTTTGTATTTCACAATTCCATCGAGTCCCAAAAACTTGACTATTTTGCTTTTCTTGTCTGTTTAATTCCTTACAGAAAAAGCAGGTGAACCAATGTTGACTTTCTTCTCAGTTAACAAATTAAAGAAAAGTATGACATTGTTTCAAGGCTAACATATGCATAAAGAAAAAAAATTCTAGCTGCAAAGGAACTAAATGATACATTAAAATGATAGTGGAACTGTGGATATAAAGATTAATTTCTTTGTATTAATGAACTTTTCAGCAGCACAAGAAATGACTTTAAAAGATAATAATCTTCGGCGCTCTTTTAAAAAGTGTGTATTCAATTGGATGACAATTCTTCATTGAAATTTCAAAGGTTATATATTCTGAAAGAAAGAAAACCTGTCTAATAAGATTGGATCAATAAGAAGAAATCAGGTCAAAGTCTTGAAAGCTGTATCTGATCTATATAAGCAAAAGTATAAAAAAAATAAGGTCTATGTTCTCTGCTTGTATTTGACTTTGGGATAAGAATATCAAAGCCACAGTGCCAACAGCAGCTTCTAGAAGTGATCGTTGCAGATTAAGAAAACAATCCACAGAACCACTGGGTTTTTAATTTAAAATGCTGCCAGCTCAGTCAATCTATCGAGCAAATGGTTTAAAATTGAATTGCTGCATTTTTTTTATGCCACAAAAAAATTTAGGAGGTTAGATGGGCAAGTAATTTATTGCTAGAGAGATTACAATCTCTGATATTGCATTCCCTACATCCATTCCCAAAGTTTAAAAAAAAATGAAGTAGAGACAAGGATTCTGGTTTTAAAAAGAGATCAGAGCTGAAGAAGTCAACTTTTCCTGGATATCTTTCATTCTTCTTATCTCCAAAGAGCAAAATAAGAACTCTAGCAGTCAGCTACTAGATGGGAAAAAAAACCTGTCAGTTTCATTCAGTTTCTCAATTATTCTATCCTATGTTTAGTTAAGCTTGTTTCCACAACATTTTGAGATTGTCACAAAAACATGAAAACCTTCTCCTGATATACAAACTTAAATGCAATGTTGCTTAATAGACATATTTTTTTAAAAAAGCTTAAACTAAAAGTTTAAATGCGCACACATACAAACATATAAACAGCACACACACACACACACACACAATTTTTTCTTAAATAACCACACCCCAAAAATTGGGAGGAAATACAGAAACACCTCATGCACATAAGCTAGATAGAAAAAACTAATCCTTATCCCCCAAAGAATATGAACCAATCAAAACAAATTATTTAGCCATGCATACCAGTTGTAAACTAGAGCTCCAGACTGTTGAACAAGCTATTTGCCGCACAATTGTTAAATGTGCGGGGTTAATTAAATCTATTCTGCAAATTGTACACATTACAAAGAAGGTTGCATGTTCTTGGAATTGATAGGGTTATCAGATAAATTTGTAGCTAATTGGAGAGCCATTTCAGCACATAAAATTGCTCACAGTTTGCCCCTCTATGCCCATTACGTTTATTGTCGCTTGCGTTGCAAATATCACCTTTTTAATTGTTATGAGCACTCTGATTTGTGCAATGATCCATTGCAAGATTATGATGCATTTCTTGCTTATTACAGCACCTTGGCATTTGCGGCATCTTAGGCGTCCAGGTGCCAAACAAAGCAAAACAGAACTTTGTTTCAAGCTTTGTTCTCACGGTGATGGAGAAAATCAAAGGAGGAGGAGGAGGAGGAGGGCGGAGTCAAGGAAAAAAAGCTAAAATGCATCAATGCAGGATTTTTTGTGTGTGTGTTTTCAGACCAGGCACAATTTAACAGCACAGCCATGTTTGAAGCCTCCTCTTCAGATGTCACATACAGTGGTGGGATTAATATTTTTTTTACTACTGGTTCTGTGGGCGTGACTTGGTGGGTGTGGCAGGAGAAGGTTACTGCAAAATCCCTATTCCCTCCCCACTCCTGGAGGAAGGTTATTGTAAAACCCCTTTCCCTCCCCACCCCACTAACCTGCTTTCCAGCTCTGTTCTCCTGTGCAGAGCAATCAAAGAAAACCCAGCCAATCAGCTGGGACTCAGTGGGAGGCAGAGAATAGATGGGGAGGGGCTAGTCAGAGGTGGCATTTGCCAGTTCTCCAAACTACTCAAAATTTCCACTACCGGTTCTCCAAACTACTCAAAATTTTCACTACGGGTTCTCCAGAACTGGTCAGAACCTGCTGAATACCACCTCTGGTCACATATATTAATGGAGACAAAACATCAACTCCCTTACTGAGAAAGTATTTGTATCTAACTCAAGCTAAATTTCTACATCATTTGTGATTACTGCATGAAATGGAGTTTGCATATAAATTGCAAGACCATCATTAAAACCAGTAGCCTAGAGTACTAATTTTAGTATTCCAGAATTTTATTTAGCCATGGTTGGTCAGAAAAGTTTAGGGCTAAGAGATTTGGGCCACAAACATCCAGATGACCCCTAGATGGCAGCACAAAGATACAAAAACACTAACTCTTTGCTGACACCTATCTAAATAAATCTAAACTCAGATTAGAAAGGTCTAATATAATTTTTTTATGACTGGGTTCACTCAATACATTGTTATAAACTGCCTTATAAATTACAATAGCTGGACTTTTTCCATGTGAAGTCATACAAGAAAAATAAAGTGCATACTATACATAGCCAAACAATGAAATGGCTAAAGTTCATTTAACTATGAGGTTCTTTAGTTGAAGTCATGCACCAGTACTACATTAAATGTTGTAGAAATCCAGCCACTTTAGTTGTAAATCATGGATTAGCATAGCCACTGAGGATCTGATAACCAATTTGATATCAAAGGTAATCTATCCCAAACATTAGATCCTTTCTTAGCAAAAGGAAGGGATGAGGGTATTATTTTTATAAATAAAAGAAATAGGAAGAAATGATTTTTTTTAAAAAAAATGGAAACATACCTGTATTTCGTTTCCATTATGCCAGTGCATTTTGCAAATCTTTTATGCATATTGAAAATAACCAGATTCTATATCCCCACCTCTGAAGAGAACAAACCGAAGCATCCTCTAATATAATCTAAAATTTACACACTAAAATTCTGGCAGTCACAGTCCTACCAATGTGCCTTTGCTCTTTATTATCTCCTCCACAAATAAAAGGAACATTAACTGTGGTTGGATGTAATGAATGCATCCCACACTATTTTTCCCCTAAGGATCAAGACAAAAATGAACAATTGTGATGAGCTTAGAATGGAGGAATATATCAATGCTCTTAGCTGCAAGCAAATTATAGCAATGCAGATTTCTGTAAATCTCTTGATATGTTAAGCTAAGGATCAATCACACTCTCCGGGATAGTCCTGAGCAGAAAGGAAGTAATATTCAACATCACTGAAAGTACCAGGTTTGGGAGAAGCTTTTTGCTAGCACGTCCTCAATCCCTTTTAGGACTTGGAATAATAAATAAAAACATAGCAATTTTCCTTTCAATGTTTGATTCTGCAACAGTTTGACACAAAGTTGCTTTCTTTAAGAACTAGCTTCACCGGCTGATCCAGGTTGGACTTCAAAGCCTTTACCTGTAACCACAAAGGATTCTGGGACTTGAAGTTCACGCCGCACAAGCCTGGACGATTTGCTCCGCCCTTTAAGGTCACACTTCTTCCGATTGGCCGCCGGTTCCCTTTCGCCTCCGCCTCTCAAAACCAGCTATCCAATAGCGAGGCGGCGGAGCGTCAAGGGCGGGAGAGGAGGGGCTGTCAATCCAGGTCACAAGAGCGAATAGGCCCATTAGGTAGGAAAGGCGACCGGGTTGTTAGAAGGTAAAGATGGCGGCCGCGGATATCGAGCCGGGCAGGTAATGACAGAGTGAGAGTCGCCTCCCGTTGGCGGGCACTCCTGGCTGTGGATTACGGGTCAGGGAGTCCCGGCTCCCTTGGAGGGAGCCTCGTAGGGCGAGACTGCTGTACAGACTAGAATTTGGTTTATATATTACATTTTATTTATTGTTTATACACACATACACACAAACAACACACACACACACACACACACACACACACACACACACACACACACAGAGACACGAGTTGGAGTTTTCTTAAGATGCCCCTTAAAGGCTATTTTTTTTCTTCCTTTGAAAAATGGAAATATAAATGTATAATATATAATATAATTAATATATTAATATAATTTAATGTAATATATAATGAATAGAATATATAATGAATAGAATAGAATTTAAAGTGATTGTAATGTATACACACGCATATAATTACAATTACTTTAAATATATGCTATTTATATATAATTTGTATATGTGGATAATATAACATAATATAAACATATTAAATATAAAATATTTTCAGTATTGCCATTGATAACACCAGGACTCTTAGGAAGACAGTTTGCACGATTCTTTCAAAAAGAAGTTGGTTGTTTTAAAGAAGAAAAAAACCTTCAGGCAAGAAAAAGAGATGAGCAAGGTACATATTTATATTCTGGTTTATCCACCTAATACAATTTGGTAATATGAGAGCAAGTTTAAAAAAAAAATCCAGGAAGGAGAGACATTAGCAATTCACTATTTACATATATAGTGTACTAATGTTGCTTTTTAAGTACATAAAATTGCTCTGCACATACATACACACACACACAAAATTCAGTACATATAAATACAAAATATAAATATTTTCAAAAGTAGTATTAAAATTTAATACACCATTATATTAGCCCAATATATATATATAGTAACCCAAGATCCAATGAGTTTAATAGATTATTGCTAAGTAAATGAGATTTCCTCCTCCTCCCTGCAGCCTAAAGAGCTGAAATTGAGGATTTTTCAGCCTTGGATAATCCCCAAAACCAATTTTTGGGTAGACAATAATCCCCTTTTACTCAAGAATTCAGCTTTTGATGAAAGTTAGCATTTATTTGTAAATTGCTGATTCTGCACTGTTAGCATTATTAGATGGTATTCACAGCACAGCACAAGATCATTAGTCTGTGCTAATGTCTCTTACTGAAGAATGTAATACCCTAACTCAATATTAAGTGGTACTTTATTCAAGGAAGCCCATTGCTAAGATTAAACAATATGCACAATTCTAAGTGTAAAATGCAGTACAAGGTAGTGAAGTTTATTGCTAAGTGATTGAATGAGATTCCATATATGTATTTGAATTAGTTCTCCATGAGGATTATTGGGGTTGTTTAAATTCAAACGGTTTTGTAAATTTATATACTGGCCTTCAAGACCTGTACCCAATTCCATAAAGTTGCTTTGTAGTGTATAAAGATGCAAACGTGGCCCTTTATGCAATTCTTGAAAACGATCCTTTTTTCAGCATCTTTAACTAGCTTATTATAATTCAATAATCTTTCTTTTCCTCTTCTGATACCTTGTGGAATCAGCCATGACAATTATTTTACATTTATTAATCTAAATGATACATCATCTAATAAGACCACAGAAATATTTCATTATTAAACTAAGCTGTAAAATTATCACAGTCCTGCTTTTCACTCATAAAGCAAAGGTCATACTGTTCAATATCATGTGTCTGGTTCATATTGCTTTTTTTTATAATAAATCTAGCTTCATTGCAACAGTTTTAGTCCATTATTCCATTACCACCAATACTTATAGTGAGAACATTTCAGTCCTATTTCATTGCAAGTTATAGCTTTGGATTATTTTTGTTAATAAATGAAAAGTGTAATGTTTTCCACTCATTCATTTAATTAGGTTCTCGTTATCTAATTGTAGGATTTGTATGGAGAACAAATCATGCTTTAGGTCATGTTTAAAATATTGAAAATTCAAAAGTATTCTCCAATTTTTAAGGGCCCTTGTATGTCTCTTTTTTTGCAGTAAAAACAATCAATTTGACTCCCATTTTTTATGTTTCTTTTTGCAAAGGTATTATCATAGAGTGACATTTTTGCCTGTTTTGTTTATAATAAAGATTTGCTCTTTTTATTTATTCTAGAATGTGTATAAAAGAAAAGGCAAAGCTGCAGTTAAAGAAGTTTGACATTGGAGACAAATTTTCCAACATTCAATTACCAAAAGCCTCAGTTCTTATCCCATTGATGGTCAAAGATGGAAAGCTATGTCTTCTTTTCACTCTTAGATCAATGAAGGTATGTAAATATGAAAACCAAAACTAAGTTCACTATTAATTCGGTGAATATTTTTAGAAACATGTGAAATGAAAGGCTAAAATAAAAGGAGAGAACACACATATAGAAATATATTCAATCTGGTTAAATAGAGCTAACACTGATAGCGTTTCCTTGTGAGGCAGGAATGCAATCTCTATTTGAACTTCCTTCTAAAGGTAATCCTCGACTTACAACCACAGTTAAGCCCCAAATTTCCTTTGTTAAGCCAGGGAGTTATTAAAGTGATTTCTGCCCCATTTTACAATCTTTTTTGCCACAGATGTTACGTGAAACACTGCAGTTATTTGGTTTGTAATAAGTGAATCTAGTTTCCCCATTGAGTTTGCTCGTCAGAAGATCGCAAAAGATGATCACATGACCCCAGGATACTGCAACTATCATAAATATGAGTGTCTGAATTTTGATCACATAACCATGGGGATGCTTACAATCGTAAGTGTGAAAAATGATCATAACTTCTTTTTTTGAGTGCTGTTGTAACTTCAAATTAAAAGAACTGGTGTAAGTCGAAGGCTACCTGTACTTAAACCTACCTTTGTTCTCCTAGCAGTTTTCATTTTTCCTTTTATATCGCAATCTCTTCTGTTTTTCCCCACTAACGGGTGGGATGCTTCCGGTTCTGCCCGGTTCTATAGAGCAGGGGTTGCCAACTTTTTGGACCTCAGGGACCACCAAACTCATAATTTTAAATCCCAGGGACCACTAACTGGTTCTGTGGATGTGGCCTAATTTGTGGGTGGGACTTGGTGGTCATGTGACTGTCTGGGCATGGCTTGTATGTAAATATTATAAATATTTATATGAATATTGATTTTTTTATTAAAAAAGAGCAACTTTTACCCAAAATCAGGCAAAGCAGGCAGGCAGATTGAGTTGCTCACAGAATCATTCAGTGATCTATCTATCTACCATCGGCTAGCTCAGTCTCTCAAATTTGCTTGCCATGAGTCTGCACTGAATAACAGAACTTTTAGTCCTAAGGCAGGTTCAGCTGTGCTTAAAAGCAGAACCGAAGATCTAAAGACTAGCCAGAAAGCAAGAAATCCAACCATTTCCTGCTTCCTAACTAATCTAAATCTCCTGGCACAGCAGAACAGATGATGGTCGGAAAAAGGAAAAATGGCAATTTTAGCAGGCAAGTTTGCCGGATAAAGAGTGATTGGGGCAGAGGGTTCCCACGGGCCATGTGGGCAGCGCAGCCTTGTGTTTCTGCACAGCCTGGATTAATTGCTTTGGGGGGATGTTCTGGGAGTGAGATTTCTCTGCAGCCCACCAAAATTTTCTCACAGCCCACCAGTGGGCCGTGGCCTACCGGTTGGCGACTGCTGCTATAGAGCCAGTAGCTCTGAAGAGCAGCAGACACCGAAGCGGTTCCGTGTTTGCTGCTTTTTGGCCCACCCAGGCTCTTACCTGTCCTTTATCTCCTGCTTTTTCAACCTCAGCTGCTTTGCGCGGCACAGCTGAGGTTGAAAAAGCAGGGGAAAAGGCTTTTCAGCTATCTGGGTGGCACAGCCTAAGGTAGTTTTACACGCGCGCAAAATGTAGTCACCGAACCAGTAGTAACACTGATTGAATTCCACCCCTGCGCACTAATAATCAGTCCACCTAATACAGCACTGCCTTTCTTTTATTACAGCCATTAATTAAATTTTTGATGTAATAAATTTGAAAGTTGGAATATCTGAGGATAGGGGAATGTTTGCATCTTGATTTCCCTTGGGTCTCTTTCATCTGTCACCAGGAACCAAAATAGCAAGAGACTTCAGCAGTAGCAGTAGCCCAGGTAAAGATGTTAAATGTGTTTGCTAAAGCAAGTTGCTTCCTTAAATCTCCATGAGCTGGAGGAATAGCTTAACTTTCTGAAGGTTAAGAGGAAAACATATTTTTCTCTTATCTTTTTCTTTGATAATTCTGGTCTGTTTTGTTAGATTTTGAAATGTTTTGTAACTAACCTGGATCAGAGGTAGTTTGGTCTAAGTAGTTAAGTATGTAGTGAACAGGAGTCAAGAGACAGGAACATTCACACATATACCTCTAGACCTACCTAACAAGGTATATGAATAATGCAATTAAATACTAATACTTTGTTCAGATTATTCTTTCTAATGTACACACATCTTTCAGAAACACTTCTGCTGAATTACCTGGGTGTAGAAAATAGGATTTTTCTCATGCTCTTTGGCTAAAGTATTTTATTGAAAATAATCTTAGGAGAGATTTCATCTTTTAAGATGCAAGTGCTTTAAAAGTTACTTGCTGATTTCTTCTTTTCTTCTATTTTTCCCATTTTTGTTTAGTTGATCATCTTAGTTTTGTTTGGAATATGTTTAGCATTATAACATTGTTTTGCAATGTGAAACCACTTATGGCCCACACCCAGTTGTTATCTCACAATAACTCCTTTAGGATTATTCAATGACCCCCTTAGGATTATTGGATTATTCAAAACCAATATCATCAATTATAGGAAAAGTTATGAAAGTCTATCTTGTTCATGCCTGTGTGTGCTAAGTTCCTATGTTGATGGTATTGATTTTGAATAAAAACAGCAATAGAGATGAAGTCAAGAGATTGTAAAGAACAATTGACCTAATATTTGGATCTTTGTCCTCCCTGTATGGGTATAATTTGAGATTGGAGATTATATTTAAAATGGAAATGAGTGCTATGAAACCCCACAGGATTTATCTATACCAATTGCTAAATGGGAGTTTGTTGAGCTCATTAATTTCAGTGACTCTTAAGTTTGACTAGTTCTTGATCTAAGCTGGGATTTTATAAGTGCAGCTAATCTTCAATTGGCATAATGGACTTCTTGGCATGATGTGATAGTTGGAGCCCAGTGATTACTGCATCTTGTGACTCCAACTGGGTTTTTTTTAATGAAAAATTTGCTTGTTTTCCTGGCTGTCGAAGTGTCTTCTCCAATACCAGAGTTCAAACATCTTGGCATTCTTTTCTGTTATGCTTCTTCCAAATTGGCCTTTCACATCCATAGTGTCGGGAAAAAGCATTCCTGAAGAACTCTAATCTTCATTATTTTAGACATAACAGAGCATTTGCAATATCCTTTTCAAAGCCTTCATTGCTGTTCCGTTGGATCCTAGTCTGCAATGTGTTTAATTAAATTAAAATATTTATTGGTGTTGCTGTTTATGATCAATCCTAAAAGCCATTATTATTATTCACCAACTTATAAGCAAAACATAAACTGAGAAGTGCCCAATGATTGTGGATTTAAAATTGGATGAAGAAACTTCAGTGATAATAATAAAAGGTCAAGCAATAACATATGCTTATCCCAGGTCCTTGAAAAGGACTTGATAGGTGAATCAAAATGCCAAATCTGGTCTAAACAACTGATGGACTTAAAGCAACCAACAATGTTAATGTTCTAATTCCAGTTGAGAACATCCCCAGGAGAAGTTTGTTTTCCAGGAGGTAGAAGTGACCCAACAGACACAGACGAAGTTGCCACAGCTCTTCGAGAAGCTAGAGAAGAAGTGGGTCTTCTTCCTGAACAGGTTGAAGTCATCTGTAGACTTGTTCCTGGAATAGATAAAGTAGGTATTGTTTACCTGAAATATTTCAAAGAAGCTGTGAGTCATTTTGAACGGGACCTAAAAAAGGGATACAACAAATTCACAGAGAATGAGACTGTCAGCAGCCACTAATTCAGATGGCAATAGACTTAATCCATTGCATTGATAGTATTGACATGAGTGTATGTGTTTTTTAGTGGCTTAGGACTCAAATATTTAAACTCTGGCCTCTACCAATTCCAAAACAGTGTATATTAAAAATTGCTCTTCATGTCCTGTAGGTTGCATTGGTGAATATCAATGATCAGGATCAGGATCTGAGTGGTAGCATCTATGGTATTCTGCTGCTGCTTGAGGGAACCATCAGTGTCCTCCCCCAAGTTGCCTTCTTGAAAGGGAGAGCTGGGAAATCCTGTGTTCATCCAGGGACAAACTATCTTTTTAGATAGTCTGTTACATGAGGTACTTTTCAAAGAATGAACTAAGTTTAAGTTTTACGCTTAACTTTTTTTAAGGAATACAGATAGTCTCTCCCCATTACAGTTGTAAGCTATGAAAGTTGTAAAGGATTCATCGTGTGCCCAACCTAATTTAACCTTTTTTGCAGCAGTTGTTAAGCAAGGATTGCTAAACGAATCCGCAATTGTTAAGCAATCTTGCTGAGTACTTTGCTGAAAATGGTAAACAGATGCCTGTTAAAACATCAAAAATTGAAGTCATATGACCACAGGACACTGCAAACAACCATAAATGTGGACTAGTTGCTCAGCATCTGAAATGCAGTCACATGACTGGGAGGGCAACCATCGGAGCTTTGGAATCGGTACATTTGGGGGGGATGTCCGCCTTAATTTGAACATTCGCTAAGTGACCAGTTGTAAGTCGAGGACTATTTTAATTATGATGCTATCTTTTATTGACTTCTTATAAGCCATTCTGTACTGCTCCAAGAAGCACAACCTAAATAAGGGATGTGCAAAATTAATTGACTGGGAAACTCTGATATAGCAATAGCACTAAGACTTATATACCACTTGATAGTGCTTTACAGACCTCTCTAAGCGGTTTACAGAGTTAGCATAATTGCCCCCAACAATTTGGCTCCTCATTTTACCCACCTCAAAAGGATGGAAGGCTGAGTCAACCTTGAGCCTGGTTGGAATTTGAACTACCAAATTGTAGGCAGCTGGTTGCAGCAGAAATAGCTTGCAGTACTGCACTCTAACCACTGCGCCACAGAGGAATGCTCCATTGACCTCCTTCCAATGACAAACCAAGAATGGGTTACAGTAATTTTCAGAAATCTTCCACAATGGAAGCTTGTTTCATACCTCAAACCAGAGTTATGAATTTTATACATCCTTCATATTGCTTAGGTAGTCCAGGGCCTGTCCCCCATTGTCTTCAAAAACATTGACATTCCATTCAGAGTTTTAAAAATGAAGACTATATTTTTCATAGTCTTTTGTTCACATTCAGTAAGATCCTGGATACCCACCCCTCAAATTTATTTAGTTATACTATTAAAAAGAATTGGAAGGGTACAGTGATGACCTGGGGCATGACACAAAAATAACCAAGGCACAAAAATAGAATAAAGTTCCTTTAATGCCTCCAACTTAGCCCCAATGTCCAATTATCCTCGGCTGGAAATCAAACTCTGAAATCAAACAAAACATATTACGGAGGGAGTAAAGGCAGTCTGCACCCAAAGTAAAGTTAATTCAAAATAAAAAAACCTAACACAAACCACACTGAAGAAATTACTACGGCAGGCAAGGATGATTAATTGCAGAATTCTACCAGATAACACAGCAACCACATTTGGGAGGAAGCCAAAACACAGATAAGCTCTAACAAGAATAATGCATGCTTTGCTTCTAGCAACTTTTGCCATGCACAGTTTGTCCTTTTAACCAGTCCTCCCAGCTGCAGCCCATGATCAAGGGGATCAGGGCCCCTTCCTCCCCCATAGACCAGCCACTCACGTTTTTCCCTTATCTGCTCCTCCCTGCGTGCCCTAGAATGAAGAGGGAATGGGCCTGGGTCTTCCTCTGAATGCCCATCTGGCCTGTGCCCTTCCCCAGTTTCCTCCACAATCACCGTAGCCACACTCCCACTCCCTGTCAGCTGTTCCATCTCTCCCTCGGAGTCAGACTCCAACAGGGGCATGACAGGTACTTGGTTAGAAACACTGAAGTTTAACTATAACTTTGTTCTTCTTCCTTTTAGACTCATTCTGTCGTAACTCCAGTTGTAGCTTTCATAGAAGACACTTTTCAAGCCCAACCAAATCCAGAAGAAGTCAGCCACGTGTTCTCAGTACCGCTGGAATATTTTATACGCCCTGAGAAGCACTGTGTTGTACCTTTGGAAAGAAAGGGACAGGCTCCATATTTGCTCCATTTCTTTGAATACAATGACCCCGAGCATCAGAAGTCATTTACAGTGTGGGGACTCACTGCCCATTTTGCAGCCTTTGTTGCTGTTGCAATTTACGGGGAGAAACCGACATTTGAAGTTGAATTTGACCTTGATAATTTGATTTCTTCAGCTGAGAAAAACTTTATGATGCGCTACCATAACATAAACAGCCAACTTTGATAGGTAACGCTGTAATTTTTTTCCCCCAAATGTAATTGAAACTCTTGAAAGTATGATCCATGCCTTAGCTGTAATAATTTGGTTAATTTATATTTAAAAATCACGTTGGAAGTGTATAATTGTAGGAATCTGTTCTTGCCACATTCAACTGGGATAGAGTGGTGTTGAATTAAAATTTTCAAATGTAATGATTATGTTGGGCCGCAATCTCTAATGCTTGGCATTTTATGATTTTTTCCCCCTTTAAATCAAAATGCCAGTAGAGATCACACAGGGGGACTGCTAAGGTAAATAAATATTTATAGGTTTGCACTACCAGTGCAAATGTTTTTGCATGTTTTATACAAACAAAAATCATTTTTACTAGATTTAAAAAAAATATTCTCCTGTGTTTGTAATCTACAGATATATACTGGGCTCCTTAACAGGTCATTATAGGGTAAAAAGGTAGCTATTTTTGAGAAACAATTCATATGCACAATATGAGTTGCACTTCAGGTGGAAGCCTCTTGGTGGAGTTTACTCACTACGTACAGCATCTGCACTTCTAACCACTCAATTTTGTTTTGCAAATGTTGTCATTTACTGTTACTCTTCAATGTACGTTTCTTTAAATTGAGAAAAAAATATTAAAATGCTTTCTAACGATGTTACCTCCTACTGCATGGGTAATGGGGGGAAACAAATAAACACTATTTCAAGGGATTTGACTTGATCAGCGATGCTGCAGCATTAATCATTCACTTGGATCACCTGTTTTAGGTATGTATGACCTTGCATTAGGCACCCTTTCTCTTAAAGCATTGCAGTCATAATTGTTTTATATTTTTCATCTTGAGATTGGAATCATAACTGAAGGACGCAATATGTTCCTCGCAAGAGACGCTGCAACAGAACCCACATTTCTGTAAATTAAGTCCAGAAGCAGATGTTTCTTGGTTATGTCTCTGATATTACAGAACTGCCAGCTTTTTTAAAAAAAAAATTCTAGGAAGTAAGTAGTTTGGGTACTTATATGGAATTTATTTTGGAATCCTTAGCGTGAGATTGTTGCCTTCTCTTGCGTTTTTCTATTTAGTTCTTTTTCAATCTGGAAGTTTAGCTTCTTTTCCTTTGGGACTGATACATCTAAAACTTTAGACCCATTCAGGGTTGAAAAGCAGCTGCTCCTGATATTTTACGGCTAGCACTTGAATGGTGTTTAAAATTCTGTTTTAAAATTCTGGGCTTTTTTTTTTTAGTAGCCTTGTTGGTCCATCCCAAACACCTTCCTTTCTAGTTTTCTTAAGGCTGGAGCGAAAGGAGAATTTGGTGGCAGGTTAGACTAAGTTCAACCTCCCTAGTAGTAGCCTATCTTAAGCATAGTTTACAGACTTACCCTTGTTAGGAAGAGTCTGCCAATAAGAACTTCTGGTTGTAAAACCACAATTTATCCTAACATTCTGATAACTTCACCAAAACTTAAGAGATGGTCAGGGTCTCCAGTCCAAACTTTTTTGCAAGAATACTGTTGCAAATGTACATCAGCCTCCTTAATTCCACCTGCACCCTTTCTCCATCCTATTTTTCCAACTACGGGTATGCCAAGAGGCTAAAAAAAGAAGTAACAAACAAATCTCCCAGGACTTGAGAAAATATGCAAGGGAAAGGAGAGTGTTTTTCTTTGAAAACTGAATTGTAAAAAAGAAGCAAACATACCTGAGTTATTTGGGGGGCTGGAGGGAGCGAGGAAAGGTTTGTATAAGAACCTGCAGACTGAGTAGGTTTTAGCTCTTGTAATTACTTCCCTTGTCTACTAAAGATGTTGCCATAGTAATTTGGTTTGGCTGAGGAATTAAAATGTAAAAAAAACCTCTATCCGTGGAGCAAGTCACACTGTTTGGAAAGGTTTGGTTTTGCTTTTGTTTTTCCTGGAAGAGAAGAAAAATAGCACCAGGGACTGTATTCTCATTTTGTGAGAAATAACAGGAACATTTTGGCATTTTAAAAAATCGGATTTTTGAGTTAGGTAAGATGCATCACTTTTTGACCTCGTGTTTTTCATAAATATGATAGCGATATTCCGATATGCACTTCTTGAGTTTCTTCCAGGTTCCCTGATTTAAATTCCCTGAATCGACAGGTGTTTCTATTCCCCACTGTGGTGCATGAATGTGAGATTATTAATATAAATGAGATCCCAAGAAAGCAGCAGAATTGATTCATTCTTCTCCAACTCTTTAAGAGCATGGTCTGGCGCAAGTAAATTGGGGCTGCAGAATTCTCTTTTCTGCCAACCAACAGTCTTCTGGGTCAGTCCAGCCCACACTTGGTATCCGGAGCAAAGTCAAATAGTCAATATCGGAGGTGGGGGAATTGAAAAATAAAAATGGAACTACGGAAAAGCAAGTAGCACGTTGAAGGAACCATAAGGTGAACAGTAAGGATAAAGGTTCCCCTCACACATACGTACTAGTCGTTTCCGGCTCTAGGGGGCGGTGTTCATCTCTGTTACAAAGCTGAAGAGCAAGCGCTGTCCAAAGACGTCTCTGTAGTCATGTGGCTGGCATGACTAAACGCCGGCGGCGCACAGAACACTGTTACCTTCCCACCAAAGTGGTCCCTATTTTTCTACTTGCATTTTTACATGCTTTCGAACTGCTAGGTTGGCAGAAGCTGGGACAAGTAACGGGAGCTGACTCCATTACACGGCGCTAGGGATTCGAACCGCCAAACTGCTGACCTTTCTGATCGACAAGCTCAGCATCTTAGCCACTAAGCCATTGCGTCCCTAGAAGGTGTATAGTAGCATTATATAAAAATATCTATTAAAAAGAAGCATAATTGTCCAATGAGTGTATTTCAGAGTGTGAAATGTTGACTGTCACCTAGGAAAGAAATGGATCATTATGTCAGAATTGTAAATGCAACTGGTTTACTGAATGCCATCTTGCTAAGGCTAAAGATGATCTCCCAAAACTTTGGATGCAACATCAGACATCTGAACTACCGCACTTCGTTCATTCAACCATGTTTAAAAAAACAACACAGGCTTATTGTGATTTCTGAATCCAGCAAAACCATTGAGTCTTTAGATTACCTTAACGGAAATGCATTCTCTAATCTAGTTTATTTATTTTAATTTGCAACATTTATTAAAACAATCCTGGAAAATGTACATGGAAGATGCAATCTCCATGCCTTAATCATGTGGGACTAAAACCCAATTGAAAAAGAATGGTTCAAGAACGGAAGATGCCTTCTGAGACTCCATGTATAACATATTCCACAATATAAGCGCCATCAAGAGAATGCCTGAGACGAAACTAGCTGTGGAACTATAAACAGCACCTGAAAGTGTGCCTATTAATCACTGATTTAAAAATACATGCTCTTGGGTTGAAATTTTGCCGCTGTCTCTTTGGAATATATGATGTTTCTCCCTTGCTGTTTCTAATTGTTATGCAGTTTCTGATACATAAAAATAGAAGATGTGTCCTGCTGGTCAGATCAAATATCCACCTGTAATCCAGCATCCTGTTTTTCACAGTTGGCAAATGCAGATGTTTCCAGGAAGCCCACAAGGGGACCCTGATGAAGACATTCATTGAACCTTGAATTTGTTCCCCCTCAACTAACTTTCAGCGGCTTCCTTATTCAGGACACAAAACTATTGTGGCTAAGAGACAATGTTTATTTTAATTTTGTTTCTGTCTTAATAAAAATAGTGCGGGTAAAAAAAATGTTAGAAAACTAAAACGATGTATACTCGGAAATAAAATTACTGATAGATAGGACAGATGGAATCCACTGTTTTAAGCCTCTGTCATATTTTTCTGTGGATACTAGACAGCCTTTTGTCCAGAATGGTATAAAGTTGTGATGGTGAACCTATGACACGTGTGGCAGAGGTGATATGCACAGCCCTTTCTGTAGGCATGCCTGCCGTTGCCAGCTGCTCTTCTGGGTCCTGTCACACACATGTATGCTGGCCATCTGCTCTCTCCCAGGTTCTGTCACACACATGCTAAGACCAGCTGGCCCGCGCGTGATGGAACACGCAAGTGCTGCTGGCTGCCGCGTGCATGCGCACCAGCCAGCTGCTCTCTTCCGGGTTCCAGCACTCTGGTGCATGCACTCCAGTTTTGTTACCCAGTGCTGGAAAGGTTAACCATCACTGGTATAGGGCAGGGGTGATATTCTACCGGTTTGGATCAGTTCTATAGAACCGGTTGTTATGATTCTGCGCAGTTTGGAGAACTGGCAAATCGTGCCCCTGGATTGCCCCGCACTTGTCCACCCGCACCTCCCCACCCAGTCCTTATCGCGCAGGCCCGACATTGCTGACTGCATTCTCCCCCGCCCAGTCACTCAAGGTATTTTTTTTCCTCCCGAAGATCAGCTGTTCTGACGTTCAGCTGTGCTCGTATCCCCCTCACTGTCTTAGTGTTTTGCCCAGGAGGCTTCACTGAGGCCCAGGAGGCACAAAAAAAACCCAAAAAACGGAGCAGAGGGGTGGTGCAAAAAGGAGGAGGAGGAAGAGGAGAAAATGACAGGAGGAAGAGGAGAAAAAGAAAAGATTTTGGTGCAAAATCTTGGTGCAAAAGACTATTAATCAGCAATGGCAACATTGATGTGTACCAGAGGAAGACCGTTTGATATGTTTTGCATGTATTTAATTTTCTTTTGGCTTCGGTTTGCTTCTCCCTGACTTAAGTGCCTGTCCACAAATTAATGAGATTAGAACTTTCAGGACTAAACATTTTAGTCATAATTTAGAGAAATTCTTGATAGCTTTGCTTTCAGCATTGAAATAGGAATACAGATTTAGAACAGTTTGTTTAGTGACTGTTCAAAGTTACAATGGCACTGAAAAAAGTGACCCATGACAATGTTTCATACTTAAGTCCTTTACAGCATCTCCATGGTCAAAATTCAGATGCTTGGCAACTTACTCGTATTTATGACGGTTGCCGTGTCCTGGGATCATGCGGTCACTTTGTGGGATCTTCTGAAAAGCAAAGTCAATGGGGAAGCCGGATTCACTTAACAACTGTGTCACTAACTTAACAACTGCAGTGATTCACTTAACAATTGTGGCAAGAAAGGTCGTAAAATGGGACAAAGTTCACTTAACAAATGAGTTGGCAATAGAAATTTTGGGCTCCATTGTGGTTGTCA